GGTGTTCATCCTGGACTAACAGAGAAAAGGCCTGAGCCATAGTAGGCAGCGGATTCATCATAAGTATGCTCCCACGAATAACTGTGTAAATCTCGTTCAACCCCATGAGAAATTGGATTAACCTTCTATCTTGTTCTGCTTTGTGAACAAGTGCCTTTGCTCCGCAAGTGCAGTTGCAAGTGCATTGAGCTTTGGCATTCAAAGTACTAAGCTCTTCCCAGAGCTTCTTCAATTTGGTGTAGTAACCTGTGATATCAAGAGAGCCTTGGGACAAGTCGTTAATTTCTCTTTGGATCTGATACAACTTCGCACCATTTGTTTGTTCATATCGATCTTCAAGTTCTCTCCATAATTCTGCAGAATCCTGGACATACTCAACACTATCAACAATTTCCTTAGATAGAAAGTTCAGGATACGAACAACAAAGGAGATCTACGCAATTGCAGATCAGATCGTAAAAGGATGAGTACTTCAGAATCGAGATGACTCTGATACCATATCAACAATGGAAGCCTTGACTACAATCAGTAAAGAAGAAGAGTAGAAAAGATAACTTGTAGAATGCAAAGCTTGAATGATTCTATTTCATCAGTGAAGTATATATACACATCAGCTGGAAGCTTCTAGACTATTACACTTTGAGCTAACTAACTATACACATTGAATACATGAGCTAACTAACTCTCTAACCAATTCTATAACTAACTATGTGAGCTGTACAATGCAATACGTGAGCTGTGCAATATAATACTTAATAGATATCTTGTTTGTTGTAGCTTATGTTGACTGTCTTTACCCATTGTGTACGTGTTTTGTTCTTAACAATAACTTGATGCAGGTACAAAGGCATTTTACACTGATTGTTAAAGAGTAAACAGGATTTTTATGTTGATGTTGAGTGTTTTTCACCGCCTCAATTTGTTAACTTACAAGTGAAGTAATGTGTCGTCTTATTTTCAGTTGTTTTGATAAAAGAAGGGGTTATACCTGAAGATGCACTTCACTCTCTGATTCTTACAAAGTCTAATAATGAAATTTTGGTATTGTAATTTATCTATTCATTCATATTATTAGTATCATTATTGCAGTTAATAAAATAGTAGTTTTCATATCATCTTGCTTTTATGATTTTGTTTTATAAGCCTTACATTTCCCTCTTTATCTGAATATTCTGTCATGTTGATCCTGACTCCCCAGTCTGAAAGACGCCTTCTAGCCTCACCTCTTTAGTTTTTTTTATTTAAAAAAGGAATCCCTACACTAATGCAACTAAGAACATGTAAAGCTCAGGATTAGAGCATGGTTTTGTGACAATTGAAGGTACTTGGTTCTACAATTGAACTTGCTAATTGGTTAGAATGATGCTTAGTTCGTATTTGATGTTAAACGTTCACCCTTCGAATGAAGATGCTTTTGTCCCAAATCCCAATCCCCCAATTCAGTTTGGAACTGGTAACATGAGAATTTTCAGTGTTTTGCTTGCTCTTTCATGGTTGACACCTGTTAACAAGCATCATGCTATTTTTATTCTTAAGTTACTCCCATTCTTATTTCTCTATCTCTCTCATGCATAAAAAAAATAATCATTTTTTCCCTTTTGTTGGTCTCTAAATTTCATCAGTTTCTTCATCTGTTGAACATTTTTAAAGTTGCTATATTTTTCTATCTTGGTGTGGTCCTTCAATTTATTGTTTCCCCATTCAAGTTGGTTTGTTTTAAGAAAAAATTTAATAGTTGAAATTATCAATTTTCTCTGGAAGGATGCTATATGCATTGATTCCAATCAAAAAAAATTTAATTTGTTTTGTTGTTAGTCTTAATATTAAATTGTTTATTTTAAGGTTACAACTAAAAAGGGAAAATGAAGGATTGATTTTTTTTTAAAATTTTGCATTTTTAAGGAGATTGAAGGTTGTCAAATAGTTGCTTCTACACTCATAAGTTACTACTTTGTAGCGTTGTTACGTATTAACCTTCCAATATCATGTTGGAGCAGAGATTGGACTTGTAGTTGTAGACATTACTTTAAAGCATTTATATTAGTGACAATAACAGTGTTACGTTATCTCATAAAGTAAATGCTTATGCTATATCCATTCATACTTTTATAACATGCAAAAACTAATTCCTGGCTATAATCGGCATCCTTAGGACATACAAACTACGATTGTGCTCCCTACCCCTCTATTATGCAGTTCAAAGTTTGAAAATTACTATAAAATTTAATTTCAGTTGAAATATCTCTCAACTTGCTTCCGATAACTCTGGACGAGTTAGAATTCATAAAATAAATAAGTTAATAATGACGATTTGAGATACAAAATTAAAAAATTGAAATATTGACTGAAAATTACAAAACAAATCCGTTATTCAATTCCCACCATTGATTACATACTGTTGTTTAGTTTGTTTTACCCTCAATTCTTTTGACGGACGAGGGAATAGGATGAAATACATAAAAGAACCATATGAACAGTGGAATTATATGAATGACAGCTTTCTCACATAACAATCTCTTAAGAGCATAAAGACTGCTTATATATTGAAACAAAGTTTCTTTTTTGCAGCTCATGTGTATTAACTTTTCTTGCTTGACGTTATTTTTATTTATTTTACTATTTATGGATATGAATAAGTTTACTTTCTACCTTCATATCGTAAAGTACTGAAACTACTAATAATACTTATTGTTCAACAAATGTTCAACAGAACATTGACTGTATTGCCATTGTGTACACTCATTTACTATTGTCTGCATTTTTTTTTGTCAATCATGAACTACTTGAAACAGGAATGGAAGAAAATAGAGATAATGTGTCTATCCAAGAAAGAACTTCTGACAAAAATTTGCGTCGTCGTACTAGATATGCACAGATGTCACCGGAGAGAAAGGAGTTATTTTTATCCCAGCTAAGAGAAAAAAGGGCTGAATCGAAAAGACAAAAACTCCTTCATCAATCAAATAGTATTGCCGCTCTTACAATCAACACTTCTTCGTTATCTCCTCAACAAGGTGACCTAACCATATTGTTATCTTTCTTTTGTCAAATGTGTCGTCTGAATATCTATAGTTATAGTTACACGCTTCAGCTCACCTACTCTTACTACAATTATTTTTCTCATTTTGTAGTTGAAGCTTCCGAAGCTACAAACCTACCAGTTACTTCAACTAGAGGAGAACGTATAGTTAATTGCTTATCTACCTTCGAAGTAGGTGAGTTCAGAAATAGTGCTTAAACTATTTAGACTATATTGATTTTTAATAATTGGCTAGCTGTCTTTAAATATTGTTATTCCTCATACTAGGATCAACATCGACTGCATCTCATGCTGCAACTAAATTAAATTCAAGATGTACTGCAAATAGAGGTATGCTTCTTTCTACCAAAGTAATAAAAAAAACATGTATTGTCGTGCCTTTATATAACAAATAATTGCTTTTTACCATGCACAAATAGAAATAAGTTAGAAGTCAATCTACAAAATGATAATTTATTGTCAAAAGATTACTTACTTTTAAAGAAAGTTCCAAATTGCAAATTTTGTGCAGCAAAAAGGTTTCAATATGAATCACTAGGTTTTTGTTGTGATAATGGATCAATTAGACTAATTTCTCATAACATTCCTACTGAGTTGCGAAATTTGTTCTTGGGTCACTCCAAAGAATCTCAACATTTTCGCACTTACAATAGAGCCTACAATAATATGTTTGCATTCACTTCACTTGGAGTACATTATGATAGAGAATTAGCAAAGAGAAATCGCGGCATCTATACATTTAAAGTCCAAGGACAAATGTATCACTTCATTGATGATTTGATACCCTCAGGAGGAAAAAGAAAAAAATTACAATTATATTTCTATGATAACGAAAATGAGCTAACAAATCGAATGACGTTATCAGATAATCTTAATGAGGTGATTGTTACAAAGCTCATGGATATACTAAAAGTTAATCCTTATTCTACTTTTCTAAGATCGTTAACAGTTGTTCCAAATTTATCTGAATTTTATATTGCTCTAAACTCAAGTCCCAACTTAGACCAAAGAACACATAACTTACCAACTGCATTCGAAATTGGGGCAATTTGAATTGAAGATCAAGTAAATGATAAAATTTTCACACCACATATTCGAATTTACACTCATAGTAACATAAGTCAATTGGTAAATTACTATTATGGATGTTATGACCCGTTGCAGTATCCATTGTTGTTTCCTTATGGTCAAAATGGCTGGCATTGTGGTATTAAAAAAGATCAAAAAGACGTACAATTATTCCAAAACACAAATTTATTGTGAATATGAGCAGCTACCAATTAAGTACAATTAACATGACTTTTATTGATCGAGCCCGTCACATGAAATCTACAGTTTTATCAAAAGGCTTGAGAAAAAGAAAGATTGTTTCTTGTCGTGAATATTATTGTTATAAAATTCAAATAAGAGATCAAGAACCAAATGAAACTTTACATTTTGGAAGGGTATTTCAACAATACATAGTTGACCAATATATAAAACTTGAGACACGAATATTAGATTTTGTTTCATTTAATCAAGATCTATTTAGAGTTGAAGCCTTTCAAGGAATCATTGATTTATTGAGACAAGGAGAAAGAGATGCTTCTAATATTGGGAGACAAAAATTCCTTCCTGGTAGTTTCTTTGGAGGCCCAAGAGATATGCGTCGAAGATATATGGATGTCATTGCTTTGGTACAACAGTTTTGAAAACCCGACATATTTTTGACGATGACTTGTAATCCTTCTTGGCCTGAAATACAAGAACATTTAGAGCCAATGGAAGAAGTTCAAAACAGACCTGATTTAGTTAGTAGAGTATTCAGAGCAAAAGTAGAAGAACTTAAAACAGATATTAAAAAAAAAACATATTTGGAAAGGTTGCAACTTTTATGTATACAATTGAGTTTCAAAAACGGGGTCTTCCACATGCCCATTTTCTCATTATACTTATGGATGGATATAAGTTGCTAACACCACAAGCATATGATAAAATTGTATGTGCTAAATTACCTGATCCCCATATTGATCATCATCTATACAAACTTGTGACCAAGCACATGATTCATGGTCCTTGTGGCAATTTAAATCCTTCAAATTCTTGCATGCAAAAGAAGGAAAATGTAAGTTTAAATATCCAAAAAAACTTACTGAACAAACAACCAAAGGAAAGAATTCGTATCCCGTTTACAAAAGACCAAAAATGATCACACAAGTCAAAGTTAGAGGACACAACATTGATAATTCTTGGGTTGTTCCGTACAATACGTTTTTACTCAACAAATTCAGTTGTCATATTAATGTTGAAATATGTTCTGACATTAAGGTATACATTTACAAATATATTTGCAAAGGACATGATAAAATTGCATTTTGTGTACATAATAATGATACTAATGTAGAAATAGATGAAATCAAAGAATACCAATCTGCTAGATGGGTTTCTCCACCAGAGGCTGCATGGCGTCTGTTTGCTTTTTCGATAATTGAAATGACTCCAACTGTTTGCCGGTTGCAATTGCATCTTGATGGACAACAATTTGTTTCGTTCAAAAATAACCAAACTGTGGATCAAATAATAAACAATCCAATGATAAGGAAAACGATGTTAATAGAATTTTTCCTTATGAACAAAATCAATAGTAATGCTATAAATCTCAATTTACTATATAAAGAGTTTCCCCAACACTTTGTATGGTCATCATCATACAAAATGTGGTCGCGTCGAAAACAACACCTTACTATCGGACGTATTGTGACATGTCATCCAACCGAAGGAGAAAGATATTATCTTAGGTTGCTTCTAATGAACGTAAGAGGACCAAAATAATACGATGATCTTCGTACAATGGATGGAAGATGCTACACTACATTTAGGGAAGCTGCAGAAAAAAAGGCGTACTACATTCTGATAACAACTTAATTGAGTGTATGTCTGAAGCTGTAAGCTATCAAATGTCTTATAGTTTAAGAAGACTATTTGCAACATTATTAGTTTATTGTAATCCTGGTAACCCAAAAGATCTTTGGAAAAAATATGAAGACTCTATGTCGGAAGATTTTAAAACAATTCCAAATGTTATAAAATACGATATCCAACAGTTAGTTTTAAATCATATCAATGAAGTTCTACTTTCAATGGGACGTAACATAAATGAATTCAAAGATATATTTGGAAATGTTAGCTCTTCTAGAACAACTAATGAGGCGAAAGAAACATATTTTGAAAGAAATATAATAGTGTCTGAAGAAGATATACTTCTACAAACCAAATTAAATGTTGAACAAAAAAGGGCATATAACATAATTCTTGAAAGAGTATTTTCCAATAAATCAGGAGCTTTTTTCATTGATGGTCCTGGTGGAACTGGAAAAATATTTCTTTATCTAGCTTTGTTGGCTGCTGTAAGAACAAAATGATGCATAGCTTTGGCAACTGCAAGTTCTGGCGTGGCAGCTTCAATACTTCCGGGAGGACGAACAACTCATTCACGTTTCAAAATTCATGTTGACATCGATGAGAATTTCACTTGCAATATTAGTAAACAGAGTTCATTAGCGCCTCTAATTCGAGATTCAAAGTTAATTGTTTGGGATGAGGTCTCAATGGCAAAAAAAAAACAATTGAAGCTCTTGATACACTTTTAAAAGATCTTATGAATACAAAAACACTCTTTGGTGGAAAAGTAGTAGTTTTTGGGGGAGACTTTAGACAAACACTTCCTGTTGTTCGTAGTGGAAAAAAGGAAGACTTTATTAGTCAAAGTTTATTATACTCTCATATTTGGAATCATCTTGAAAAATTGTGCTTATCTAAGAACATGCGTGCAAAAAAAGATCCAGCATTTTGTGCATATTTAATGAGAATTGGAAATGGACAAGAAAAAACTAACAACTGCAACAAAATTGAAATTCCCAATAATTTTATCATTCCCTTTACACATGAAATAAAATCTTTGAATCTTTTGTTTAATATTACTTAACCTGATTTGCATACATTCTATTCTAATCCATCTTCTATAACTTCCCGTATTATTTTGACAACAAAAAATGATTTTGTTGATGAAATAAATGACATGCTTATACATCGATTTTTCGATGATGCTACAGTGTATACAACTATGGATGAAACAATCAAACCAAATGATCAATGCCAATTTGAAGATTTTTTGCATACCTTACATCCTGCTAACTTACCACCTTATAGATTAACTTTGAAAAAAATTGTCCAGTTATATTATTAAGAAACTTAAATCCTACTGAAGGTTTATGCAATGGTACACGATTGATATGTCATGATTTTAAATCACATGTTATCAGTGCAACTATTTCCAGTGGTGATTTTAAAAATAAACATGTTTTTATTCCAAAGATACCATTACTAGCATCACAAGATGAGAAGCTACCAGTTCCCTTCAAAAGAACACAATTTTCGATAAGGTTATGTTTTGCTGTGACTATAAACAAAGCTCAACGTCAAACATTAGATTTTGTTGGAATATATTTGCGTGAACCAGTTTTTTCACATGGACAACTTTATGTTGCTTTATCTCGAGCAAAATGTTCAGAGAACGTAAAAATATTAATACGTCCACCTACGACAGAGGACACATATGATCATTCTACATATAACGTAGTTTATGACGAAATCATTCGAAAAGCATTCTCATGATACTTTTAAAAGCAAGAAATCTAACAAGTAAGCACCCTCATGCTATACATTATGAAATTTTGGATTCGTTTACTTCATCTGTTTTTAAAGCTAACTAAGATTTAGCTCGCAATCATATCAGTTCAACATTTTAAGTTTAAAATTTCACAGTTCAATTTAGATTCTTCCTGGCCAATTAGTTAAATTTCAAATGTTTAATTTTCACTAACCTAAATCCTAACATTGCAGGAACAACTTATTCTATCAAGGGTAAGTATTTATATAGTTCTAGCCGAAGGAAATGACAGAGATGACCTACCTCTTAAGGCTTCAAACGTTTTTATTTGAGATGATACAAGTGCAAATAAATGATGATGAGGTAAACAAAATTTCCAGTCATAATGTTATACCAATTAATGCTCTTAACTTTGTTGAATGTACTTTTAGTGGATTTTTCTTGCTTACCTTCTCTCTTTGTTTGTTATTTAACTTCTCACATTACCGTACTCACTTGTGTTTGCTAGAATAACTTCTGTTTTGCATTTTTATTGATACAATAACTTCTGTTCTGTTTGGCTGCTATTGTTTCACACCTCATTTTGAGGTTGACTTACTGCTGTATTTTGGCCTTTTACTGTTTCTTTTTCTGCAGCCGCAGCTATTCGTATTCAATCCATTCTAGGAAAGGGGCCAATTACTCATCAATTAAGGGTCATGATAACAAATCCTATATAAGTTGGAGGCTCAAATCTTCAAACTTTATGAAAGATATGTTTCAAATGTATGCCATTTGATCCCATTAGTTGTTTTGTTAAACTCATTTACTATTGTCTAACATTTTGTAGCCTAATTTATAGGTTAATGTAAGCTACTTGAAATAGGAATTGACAAAAATAAAGATACTGTCATTGTTCAAGAAAGAACTGTGTGATTGTTCAAGAAAGAACAGCTGACAGAAATTTGTGTCGTCACACTAGATATGCACAAATGTCACCGGAGAAAAAGCAATTATGTTTGTCCCACGTAAGTGTCACGACCCAAGCCTAGGGCCTAGACGTGATCGGCGAATGGGGAACCCGAAGGAACCCCAAACAAGCCTCATAGTATATCATTACACATCCTTGGTCGCGGAAGCAATTAAAATGACCATAAGCGATAAGCATAATCAAGGGGAAGTCGGGACTAAGGGAGCAAGAGAAAAAGAGAATGATACATAAATACCATAGATGAGTCAAGCTCAAGCATAATACACAACTTGTCCAACACCACCTCTAAACATGAGTACTTAGCGGGGGCCAAGACAAACTACCGGGCTCACCCTCATAGTCAAAACATAACTAAAAAGAAAAAAGTCTTATACATAGCAAAAGATCATAAGCAACGTCCCCGGAATGGAGGACTCACCAATAACCTTGATAGGAAATCGTATTAGCCACGCGGAGGAGGATGGTCAAGCGGTGCTCCGGTCCCTACATGGTGACATCATGTAGGCATAGAGTATGCGTTAGTACATTTGAATGTACTAAGTATATGGGATGCAATGCAATACAACAAGGGATGGACATCATAGGCAAAATGCATAATCGTACCCGATAGATAGCATATTAATGAGATGATATGTATAATGATGCTTACATAAAAATCATATTTAGTGGGACGTAGCACAAGTGTGGTGAGTGACCATCAATATAGTATTTCCAAGGCCTACCACCCCCTTGGAGAGGCGAAAGAGGTACAAACCCCTCAATGTGGTTACCCGGGCCTACCACCCCCCGAGCTAGGGACCAAGGTACAAACCCCTCGATATGGTTATACGGGCCTACTACCCCCCGTACTAGGCAACCAAGGTACCAACCCCTCGATACGGTTATACGGGCCTACTACCCCCCGTACTAGGCAACCAAGGTACCAACCCCTCGATACGGTTATACGGGCCTACTACCCCCCGTACTAGGCAACCAAGGTACCAACCCCTCGATACGGTTATACGGGCCTACTACCCCCCGTACTAGGCAACCAAGGTACCAACCCCTCGATACGGTTATACGGGCCTACTACCCCCCGTACTAGGCAACCAAGGTACCAACCCCTCGATACGGTTATACGGGCCTACTACCCCCCGTACTAGGCAATCAAGGTACCAACCCCTTGATACGGTTACCCGGGCCTACAACCCCCCGAGCTAGGCTTGGTCGACTCACACACTATATAGAGAAAATCATATACATGTATCCATTTCATCATTATTTCAATACTTATATAATCATCCGACTCATAGGACGTACATTGGACCTTCCATTTCATAAGAATTCTATAAATGGCATTTTATCAAACATATGGTGGGCTACTTGTTCATGTAAATAAAATCATGTGTTTCAAGAGTACTAAGTCCAACCAATTTCAAAATCCATATAAAACAGCCCACCAACAACATACATATATATATACATATATAACAACCTTCATAATTTGATCATTGAGGCATGAAAACCATAAACATCATATAATCATTCCATTTCATGATAATATACAAAAATAGACCATAATAGGATGTGTAGTAATAATTCCATAATTCAAGAGTTCATAAATGATCATAAGGACCCATAAACTTGAAGTAAAATAGAGGATAAATGGTTGGACTTGTGGAAAGGAAGGTTTCCACAATCAACCCACATACCTCAACTTTGGAGAATTCTTGATGAAGATTGGAATGGAGAATTGCTTGAGATTGAATCTTGAATCCGGAATTAAAGCTTGGGATCCTTGAATTTGGTTGATGATCTTGGTGGAATTTTTGGAGAGGGTTTAGAGAGAGTTTTTGGATGTTTTGAAGTTAAATGACTAAGTATGGATATGTCCCCTTTTTATAAAAACGTCCCAACACTTAGAAAAAAAATTGAGGCGGGTGAAAGACCGCAACAACCTTTTTGGAATTTTATCCTCAACATACAATGTTATTGGCATTGGAATGGATGAGTCCTCCATCCAGATATATAATCCCCGAATTGGCGAGGTTGAGCTATTCAGACATTTATTTCATTCTGTAATTTTTGGAATATTACTAATTCAGTATTTAGTTTAAATTCGTTGACATCAAGTACAATCCCTTTGTGTAGGTAAAGACAAAGCTCAAAGGACATCATAAGAGAATAATTGCGCTTCCTTTTTGAATTCTGTCAACGTGCTTATATCTGCAGGAGCAGATTCTCATGTAAATTAGTTTGATATAGATGCATTTCGACAGATATCTTACTTAAAAGAAATATATAACTCTTCTGTTTTGGACGAAATTCTCCAGTATTTGGTATGGTATGAGATTCATATGAAATGTACTATCTTCTACTATATGAAATAAACTCATATGAGAATGTTTTCAGTCGTCTGCTTCTTTAGTTTAGTAGGAATTTCATGCTATTGCATGGAACAATTGTATGGTCTTATACTGCTCTATGCTAGCTCGAAAGGTATTGCTACTCTCTTCTTTCCTGTTGAACGTCATCGAGAATTTTCCCCTTCTTCCGATCTGCCCAGAAGATTCTCAATACAGGCTTAACAACCATCCCTGCTTACATTTTCAGAAAATTTTAATATTGATTGTTAAGCTTCACTAATAGATATGGTTCTCCTATAAGGAGCATGTTTGCCTTGTGTTTCTTGCTCTGTTAACTCATGTAACTTAATGTTGACACTTAGCGTACAAGATATAACTTAAATCTCATAAATTTAATAAGCAAAGCATATTAGTCAGTTGATGTAATTCAATGTTTCTGAATCATTTTTATATTTCTCAGTAATTATTTTTTATACACATGACTTCGATATATATGATGTTTGCACTTATTAGTTCCTTATTGCATCATCTTTTCAACTCTTTCAGATTCAGTAAGCACAATTTGATATGTCTACCTCAGTTTTCTACTCTTTTGGATATAGTTTCTTCCTAAGATTTCTACATGCATGATACTAACTACTTCTTCATTTGCCCAATGCATTAGTTTCTTTGATGAATTTAATGTTTATAGCCATTAATTAGTGCAAAAACTTAGACAGTCTTACAAAAATCTAAGCTATCAAGAATGTGTATGCCTTAAATTTTTAAGTGAATTCTGCATCCAAGTTGTTTGGTAATATGCCTTCGTTAACTCATTTATAGTTTTTTGTTGCCATTTTTAATTTTAGGCTGCAGCAGCATTATTTGTATTAGGACTGAAGGCACATTTGGGACATATCTTGGTGGTTTTGGTTCTACCGTTCAAGATGTGAGCCACTATGTTATCAATTACCGTCGTCCATAAATCGCTCAAGGTATTAATATTAATTCTTTTCTTATGGATATCCTTTTTTGCTTTCATTAGGTCAACTACGTAATTTTGAGTATCATATATTCATTTGTATTCGGTTATCATGTATTGACATTTGGTTTGTTGTTCCACTTTTTCTTCGAATAGACAAAGTGCACGAAAATTGGCCCGAACATTACAACTATAAATAAAATGACTGCAAGGAAGATCCAATGGACGATAATTTTCAACATATCGAAAAATTCTATTGTCTTAACTTGGTTCTGTTCAGCAACATCGTTGATTCCTTTTTTGGGTTCTTTTAATTATATAATACACTGATAAAAATTTAGAGGGGTATTATTCTAAAAAATTACTGATGAACAGAAGACTTTCATCAGGCTTTTTGTGTTCAGTTGCTCTTTTATGATGTGGTTATTTTGTCTTTCTACTCTTTCTGTAGGAATGGAATATTACATGTGAATTACAACTTCTAACTTTTTTGGCGTAACAGTTTATAGGGTATGTACATCTGCCAAATTTCTTTAGCTGAGAGGTCTCTCATACCCAGAGAAGGCCTTCACCAACTAATGTTGGCAGACCAAGATTATGAGCGTCTTGCTGGTGAAGGATTGGATGAAAAAAAGAGTCCTAATGTGAGTATCCTTTATTGGTAAGATAAGGACTACTCCGTTGTCACAATCCGGTGCAAGGATAGACCAAACCTTCTCTTTGATACAATTTTTACATTGCCCGATATGCAATAAGTCGTTTTCCATGGCAATGCAGATGCTGAAGTACCAATAGCGCACCAAGTACCACAATTTTCTATTTGTTTTGAAATCTCTTTCATGGTTTATTCTTCTGAACATTTGTGAACTAATATTACAAACTTTGTTCTCATTGAAGGAGTACTGCATAAGACATATAGATGTTTCCTGGTAAAATCAGACGCAGAACGAAAAAAAGTGATTCAATGTCTTAAAGCAGCAATTGAAAGAAGGGTATCTGAGGTTAGCACTAATGATTAACTTAATTTCTAAATTTTTTTAGATCCATTGTTCGACATATATTGGGAGTTATGGGGGGGGATTTCCTTCGACCAATTATTTGTCATGGTCCATTCCTCTTTTTAAAATTGATTAATTTACAACCCACAAATAGCACATTGCACGTTAGTAGCCTGTTCAAAGAAGTGAAATTAAGACAGAAACTTCCCCTTTTTTGACTTTTAAGTAAGATAGAATTTTTCCTGTTTCCTTCATACGTCAAATTTGAAATTCTCCTACATTGAACTTATTTGCAACTACTATGTTTTGGTCCAAATATGAATACTAGATATATGTCTCCCCGTTTACTGATTTTCTCATTTCTTCAATAATTAATCATCTTATTCTGATGTGGTTGCTTCTATTGCTTTGCACTTCTTAGTAAGTTTTATTTAATTTTTTTTGTCCACTGCTTGGTGTATTGGCAGATGTTCAACATGCATGCATCTATATAGTTGATTGTTTCTTTTTTCCTTGAATTATTTTATTTTAGTTCTAAGTTTGTTATGTTGAGTTTTTATCTATTCTAGCCTTTTAATACATCTTATTGTTAATGAAATTCTGGTCATATTAGTATTTTTGCTATTTATTTGAGTAGTTTGTTTTTACATGCATAATATTGATAACTACATTAGATTTGCACTCTGCTGCCAAATTTATATAAGGCCTATATATATATAGATAGATGGATAGATATTATCCTTATATTTAGAAAGGACACTAAAAGTACATGTGTCTTCTTAAAAATTGATGGGGTTTTGGTAGGCAATGAAATTGTGCCAAAAAAGAGACAAAATCATTACATTTGGTAGTTGGCACAATTTCATTGCCTACCAAAACCCCATCAAATTTTAAGAAGACACATGTACTTTTAGTGTCCTTTCTAAATATA